GTCCCCTGAGCACAGCGGAAGATTTGTCAGGAGGAAACTACCTTCACATTGTACATATACATTTTATTAGCTTTAATATAACACTTTCTTACACATACTAATGTTAGTAGAAGTTTGGGAGTGGGTTTTGTGGGTCCTTGTTTTTCTAATTTTGCTAGTAATTTTGTTTCACACGTATAAGTGACTATGATTTGTTTATGGCCTTGGACATTGTTAGCTTTGGGACTCTCAAGTGCCCATGTAAGGAACATCAAATCCCCACATACATACACTTCAAGTCAAGTACGCTCCCGCCACAAACGCATTGTCTATGCACGAGGTCCTTACTTTCTACCTAAGTCTACTCCACCACCTAAGGTTCCCATATTGACATTTCCAGCTGAGGGGGGAGTGAATAAGGACAATGGGCCTCTGCAACAATTGCATAAAGGAGACTATATATCATGGATTCTGGAATTAAGTCACGATCTTGCATCTATTGCCCCTACATCTCATGATCCTTCATGTCAGCAGCCTCTACATTCAATTATGATGGGACAGTAATAAAAGACATTCAAATAGCTGCTAATCGGACAAACTCCACTACTCCTATTTCCCAAACCACACCCACCACTGACACTGGGTGGCTCATTAAAAACTCAGATATCCAGAGGCATCTTGCCCAATCTCGGGTGGCAATGAATTATTGGGATCTTCATTTATTAAATAACTGGACAGTACATATGTTCAACGAGACTATCGGGGTGCTGAAGCTGATGAACAAAGAACTGGCTGAAATCAGGGAGGTGGTCTCACAAAACCGATATGCCTTAGATATTATGCTAGTAGCTAAAGGAGGCATTTGTGCCCTCATACACTCACATTGTTGTACCTATGTATCTGATTATCAGTATAACATCACTCACACCATAGAACATATGGAAAACTTGATCAAAAACAATCCCTTATCATCCGATGGATCTGGCGCCATTGACATCTGGGCTGCTCTTTGGTCATGGCTCCCGGATGGTTCTTGGTTGAAATCAATTATGCCAACTATTGTATCTATACTGCTTGTTTTGCTTTGTTGCTGTATCCTATGTCTCCCCTCCCTTCTGCAAATGTGCAAAGGTTTTATTCTCTCCAATAGGAAGGACGTCCTGATAAGTGAAACCAAAGCCCTTCTGGAACTGGAGGAACAAATCAGGTGTGGTCAGAGAAGGTGCTCGGGACTTGCAAGATAGGGCTTCCAGAATAACTCAGAGGTTACAAACTCCTGACATGTGGTTTTCTTGGGTGCCTGGATCTGGATGTGTGAGCGATTTGTGGAAATGTATAACTGGAATACAACTCAGAAACTTGATGGCCTACCTCGCTTGACATCTCCTGGCCACCTTTCCACTAACTTTGTTCACCGTAATAAAAGGATGGGTGAGCTACAAACATTTGCAGAAACCGGATGGCTGAAGAACATATTGTCTACTGTACTCATGATCATTGCTTTGCTTATTTCTGTATGTTGTAGTATCACAAACTGTTGTTTACAAATAGATGAGACAGGGAAAGTTGTAGCGGACCTTACCGCTGAGTTAAGAAAGCTTGTGCATGTACCCGTACAAAAGTGGACGGGAATGCTTGATGAGGGGGGATTTTTGGGAGGAATATTCCGCAATTGGAAGCAAGCTGCATTCATGATTGGTGTCATTCTTTTAGGCCTCCTCATGCTCCCATGCCTAATCCCCGTAATCCGGAGTATTATCCAATCCACGGTAGAGAGTGTGGTCCAAACCAGAGAAAAACATATTAACATAGCCCAAACAGACACTAACGACATACTACAGCAAAAGGCATTACTATCTGCCCTCTCTGATGAGGAAGATGATCGTGTTTAAAAAATTAAAACAAAAAGTAGAAGATGTTGTAACATGCTCAAGAGCTACGCGCAGGCATGAGAGAATCATGCTGTACCGCGTATGCGAAAAACTAGATAAGGGCTGGAACAACTCATAGATAAGGGCTGCAACAATTCACTAGCAGCTAGGATTGTAGATCTTCCCAAATATGGGCATTGCTTCCATGTATTACTTGTACTTACGTATGCATTACATGAGACATGCTGTAATATATTATTGGCTTATGCTAACAAACCCCTCCTGCCTTTGTTTGTGTTCAATAAAAGAGGCTCCCGGAGTCAGATCTGGGTCGTCTCATCCCGAGAAAACTCATGTCCGTGTCTTTCCTCAATATTGACCTCATGGGCGGCCCACAGAAAACTCACATTCAGGCACCATGAAAGGGAAGCTATGGCATCACTTGAGTCACCAGGGGTGGAGATGCAGCACTGAGCATCAGCAGCCTATTGGTGACATCTCATCCCCTGGAGTCGTGTGATATCAGCCAGTGGTTTTGTGACCAAAAGCCGCAGAGAGCCCCCTGGTGCCCCACAGAGCAGCGGCTTTGGGCTGGACCTCTCGCCAGTATTAATACCAACTGGAACCAGCCACAGAGAAAAGAACTGAACCCGTGCAACATTGCACTGCCCAGTCCCAAATCCTGCAGCCAGCCCAAAATGGTTGATGATATCAACAGCCGCCAAGAGGTCAAGGAGAGTGAGGATGGATCTGCTACCCCATCCTACTCTCACTAGAGAGGATCAAGTGTGAACAAGGCCACTTCTGTCTATAACCAGGCCTGCAGCCTGACTAGATGTCCAGGTAATCTGTTTCATCCAGGATCTTCTGGAGCTGTCATGCAATCACTCTTTGGACAAAACTGGACGAACGTTGTACTGCAGAGCGAGGGTCTAATGATGGCTTCAGCCACCAACTCCTTCTGATGTGTTGCATTAATCACATTGCTACATTAATCACTGCTTGCACTCATCCAGAAGTCACCATCCTGGAAGCAGATAACTGAGAGCATTTGTTGAGTTCAAAGCATAGAAGAGTTTATTACTTCTACCTATACAAAAGAATCTAGTCAACTAATGGACAAAGCTAAACTGGCACAAGACATGGGCAAAGGAATTTCTGGGGGGGGGCTGGACCTGGGTCTCTTGTGGCCAAACAATGATTCCAAACTGATGATACATTTAATCCCACCTTCCAGCTCAGCTGCTTCCCTCCTACAAGCTTCCACTAACCAGGAGGGACAGGAATCTAACAATCAAGAAAGCTGCTTTGACATTTCCTCAGGTCCAACAGGATCACATTGCTCCCAGATAAAAGTTCAACTCTGTTCCATGGACATCTCGAATGGTTTTATTTGATGCTTGGTCTCTAACCAAGAGCAAATCTGAGCACTTTTGTCAGGTGTTGCACAAATTCCATCAAATGGCACATAGCTGCCATAAATGAGTTTAAGCCTCAGGAGTAACTCAAGAATCTTGAAGGACCTCCTCCAATGCCCAGGAGCCACCGTGGTTCCTTTTCTCCTTGCAGTCTTTCTGATCCTGGACCGGCTCAGGGCCATCTGTCAACGCACAGATCTCTCAACCATTTGCGATAGTAATCGGCTCTCCTTCTCCTCCTCCTCTCCTTGCCCATCTGTGCTCTTGTCTATTGTGGCATGTTTTTAAGCAACTGGGGAATTATTGCCATTATTATCGCTCTGATCAATGCCTCACTGTTTTACTCAGGCTAGAAGGAAGATGCTTACAAAAGGTAGGTCTCAACTGGTCCAGATCCAACTAATCAAAAGGAATCGAAAGGTCTTTGCCCTGCCAGCTGCCACACTGCCTCCTATCCAAGTTACACTGTGTGCCTATGCAGTCTTTGGCAAAGGAAGTCAGAAAAAAGGAAATTAAAGAAGCATCCTTCTCCCTCTGTTACCGCAAAATGCAATTGTTTGGCAACACACAAGCTTTGTAATCAGAGCAGCCTGGATGAATCTGAGCAGGAAGGAGGCAACAGACAACCTCTGAACTCAGGATGGGTCTTCTATAAGGAAGGCACAAGATTGTTCTTCTGCAAATATGACACTGTCATTCAGCCTGGGAATTACATCTGTGGACTTAGTAACGATGCCAAGAGTTTCCAGGGCTTTGATGAAGTCCAGTTGTTTGGGGAAAAAACATGAATGCTTTGGGCTTCACCTGACCAAAGGGCCATCTGCCGCCAGGAAAATGATAAGCAATATTCAACTTTTGAAGCTTCTCTTAAACATGCAACCTCCCTGAGGAAACCATGGCAGCTGAGGGTTCCCCCCACTCCACCATCCCCAGGTACAGAAAAGCAGGCATCCTTAAGCTTGTCTGGCAGCTGCAACATGGCAACAGCCATGAACTTTTCAAATGAAGTCCCAGAGCCCAGTGAACAGAAAAGGGTCAGGATCGGCTACTCCCAAGGCTCTGAAGCTGCCACTCCTCCTTTCCCCATTAAAGGCTAAGCCATAGGAGGGGGGGGTTGCTATAGAGCTTGACAGCAGCACAAGGCTGGGGGGGGGTGTCATGGAGGGAGGACTGTTGGCCTTCCTTTTTCTCCAAGAGGACAAAGTGGGAGATGAGGGAGCGACTTTTCTTCCCAGCTGTCCAGAGTGCTGAGAACTTTCCCATCCAAAGAACAGAGGGTGGGATTGGGGGGGGGTTGGCATCAAAAGTGGTTGGCAGACGTGCAGTCTGGCCTGAACCCTCCCCCATTCCACCCTCTATTCCTCTCCAAAAATTGTGGGGTCCTAGCAGGTGACCTTCATCATTGTCACCCTCCTTCCCACTTGCCCATACCTCTGGGAGCTCCATGGAGGCGACTGCTTCTGTTGTGTCCTGTTGTGCCAGGACTGTCGACTGCCTGCTGCTCCCCTGGCCTGCTGTAACCTCACCCCCAGCTCACACACACACACACATCCCCGCAGATTCCAGGAAGACTCATTTGGGACCTGCCCCCTTCCAGCTCCGGGAGGGGAAAAGCCCAAAGAGCTCCCCAGCCAGTCCCTTCCCTGTTCCTTATCTGGCTGCTGTCAGGGGGAGAGCAAAAGGTGAGCTTCGGTGCTGGACTCTTCAGATTCTCCCACCCAAAAGCCCTTACCTTGGGGGGGAGAGACCAACTCAGTAGCAGCACCCCTTTCTCATTCACTCTCCCCATACATCCCCGCCCAGTTCTCTGTGGCAAGCCAGAAATGCCCAGAATTGCGCAAGAGGTCTGTGTGCACTCACAAGTTTTCTTTTTGGGCTAAAAGAGAGAAGTCCAGAACAAGCAGCAGGAAGGAAGGAAGGAAGGAAGACACATCAGCAATATCAGCACCACCTCCCTTTCTCCTCCCCACCTACCACCACCACCACCACCACTCCTTTGTGTTTCTTTGCCTCCCCTTCTCATGTGTACAATCTCCTGATTTTTTTTGGAAACAAAACTAGGTAGAAAGTGATCACACTCGAACTATGGATTTTAGGAAGGCAAATTTTGATAAACCAAGAGAAACAGTAAATAAGGTATTCTGGGAAGAAAACCTTAAGAGCAAAGGTTTTGCAGCCAGTTGGGATTTTTTGAAAAGGGAATTAAGGATGGCATCACATCAGACAATGTCAGTGAAAAAGAAAATCTTCTAAAGAAGCTGATGGGGTTGGACAAGCAGCTCACAAGAAGGAAAAAACTAAGACTAAGAAAATATACTTATGGAAAATGAAGAGAGGGGCTCTACAAATAGAGACCTCTACAAAACCTCTGTCCAGAAAAGTCTGGATGAGGCCAGGAAGGTAGAAGGTAGGTAGAACATGAGCAAAGGTTGGCAAGACAGGCAAAATTTAGGAAAACGAATTCCTTCAAATATGTCAATAGCAAGAAAATGTCAATGGAGGCGATGGGCCAATTGCTGATTTTAGATGGCGAAATCTGAATAAGTGACCAGGAGAAACCAGGTGGCCTAGGTGGTATATACACATATGGCAGTGTCATTCTTTTTTCTTTTTATATTGACCCATATGCATTCAAGGAGGCTTTTCTCCTTGGTTTTGTAGATTTCTGTAGCGATATAATGATTCCTTACATATAATGCTACTCCACCTCTTTCGTTCAGTCAGTTTCTTTTGAACAATTCAGTCGATTTCTTTTGAACAACTTAAATCCTTCTAGCAATTCATTTCAGTCACAAATTTCACCCCACCAAGTTTTTGTAATGGGCACAATGTCCTACTTGCCCTCACTTATGAAAACTTCAAGTTCACCGTTTCTTTCTCATACTTTGAATGTTAAGTCTACAGGCATCTCAGTCCTTTATGACGGTTTGCTTCCTATCTCTCCTGTTTTATGTCTGAGTTACCCTTCCTTCTCTTTACCTCATTGTTTGATTGGTTGTCTTGGGAGTTTATGCTTGGTATTAGTTTAAAGCTCTTTGGAGAAGCCAAGCTAGTTGTTGTCCAAACACATCCTTCCTGGCACATGCCGAGACTCTTCTGAAGTTTCCTTTATGGTTCTTGCCAAACAAAATCAGATTAAAGGTAGACCTTGATTTACAACTGGAACAAAGTTATGGCAGACCCCTGCAAAAGGGAGCCCCAAAGTTATGGCCACTGCAGCATCCCTGTGGTCACTCGCCCTTGTTCTGCGGGTGACACAGTGTGGGGAGGAGGGCCTGGTGGGCTGGGAAGCAGGCCCAAGGCTTGTGGGAATCTCAAGGGGCAGATAGTGGAACATGGGGTGGGGAAGGCCTTGGAAGATTGGGGCCCCAAGACACTTTGTGCTGTGCTTAACGACCTGCACACATTCACTTAATGACCACATTGGGACTGGTGAAATCTAAACTTTGTTACTAACGGTTCTGTGGGCGTGGCTTAGGGGGGGTAATGTGACTAGGTAGGCGTGGCCAATTTTTTTTTTTTTACTTTTAAAACCATTTTTTCTAGAATCTCTTCAGCGAAGAGGTTGTATACAAATGCTTTCAAAAGGCTCTGACAATCCCGACTTCCGGGTTGCTGTTTGCCGCTGCCAGACGTTCCTTTGGGATCGTCAGCTTCCATCGCCTGTTAGAGCCGCCTTCACAACGGAATGGCGGCTCGAAAAAACTCCGTTTCCATGAGGAAACGGAGATAGAGCCGGCAGGGGTGGGTAGAACTCTCTGCGGAGTCCCAAAAGTTTTTTTTTTACTTTTGGGACGGAGCGGATGAGATGCCCCATATCCCCAGCCGCCGCTCCGGGCTTTGGGAGACCTCTGCTGATGCAGAGCCAGGCGTCAAAAGCAAGCCTGCAAATTTAACAGACTACTCAAAGAAAATGTGAGCTGGACCTGTAATATTGAACTGCAAGTATTTTACTGATTTTTTTTTTTTTTTTAAAAATACTTAAGAGAGAGGAGGAAAAGAAAGAGGAAAAAAAAAGAAGCCTTTTAAAATGGCGTTGGCTGGAGGAGAGGCTGAAAGGGAAGTCTTTCTGTTTTCTATTACTACAATGTAGCGGAATAAATACCACTGGCTACATTTGTAGACAAAACTTTGCTCCTGTGTCTTTTTCTCTTTTTTTTTCCCTTGGAGACCTGATATTGTTGTTGATTGGAAAGAAGTCCCTTTTTTTTTTTCTTTCTTGCTTTTTTTTTTAACAAAGCCTGCCTGGGCGGAAACATGGCACTGAGACTCATAAAGTCAGATAAACAAGAAGGGGGGGGGATCCCCCCACCAACAACTTAAAGGAACAAGTCTTAATTCTTCAGTCTCAGAAACCTGACTTTAATATAATAGAATTTTTTATAGAGGAGATTGAAAGAAGGGAGGAGATTGTGAATCAGCAATTTGAAAAATTTAAGCAGGAAATTAAAGAATTGGTGAAATCTAAGTTTGATTTTTTGGAGAAAAAACTCTCAAAAGTGGTTAATGGTTTTACAGGATTTATGAAACAGTTGGACACAAATACTATTGTACTAGAGTCTAAAATGGAAGAAATTCAAGATAAATTGGACAATAGAATTCAAAAAATTGAAAATGATTTGACAAACACTCAGGATAATAGCTTAGAAGAAAAACCTAAAATGGATGCTGATCAAAAGTATGGTAATGCAGAAAATCTGCAACAGAAGATTGAAAAAGAGATGTTAATGGTACAATATAATTTTACAGAATATGCGATAAGATTAAGAGGTTTGCAGGAAAATAATAGAGATGATTTAAGGAAAATATCTTCTGAATTTCTAGCTGGGATTCTAAAGGTTCAACCTGACGAAGTGTTTTGTAGGATCGACAGAGTTTATCGAATCAACTCCTGGATTGCTAAGCAAAGGCAATGGCCTAGAGATGTGGTGATTTATTTTACAGATAAGGAGATTAGGAATAATATCGTTCAAAACTCCTTCAATTCTAATTTGCAATTGTATGGAAGAAAGATTTGGATTTACAAGGAACTCCCACCTAAGATATTGATGGAAAGGAAGAAATTTGGTTTTCTGGTGAATGAGTTAAAAAAGAGAAATATCTCCTACAGGTGGGACGCCCCAGTGGGTATTATATTTAGATACCAAGGAGAAAGATATCAGCTAAATACTGTTGAAAGAGCGGAAGAATTTTATCAAAATAGGTTGAAAATGAACTTAACATCTCCAGGTATAATACAGGATAAGCAGGAGCCGGAAATAAAGGTAAAATATCGAATTACAGAGACTGTACCAGATGAATTGCCTTTGGATTTATTGGATACCCCAGCTGGACTATCTACAAATTTGAGAGAAGAGGCATCTAATCTTAATGTGATGACTTATCAAGGCAAGGATAAACATGGAAACCAATTAGGGGATATACAAGGGATAAAAAAGAAATATGAGATACAAAAGCAAAACCAACAAGACCAATCTACAAAGCAGAATAAAAACCGACCAGATGATACACACTTTACAGAAAGGGAACCAGGATGGAAACCAAACCCACAAAAAGAAAAGAAAAAAAGAAATAGGTGGCATAAAAACAGAAATTTCTAATCAGGCAACAGTGAAGCCAGTGATTTTAAAATATGAACGATTATGTGTAAACACAGAAGAGGCGACGTATTGGTTAATATCATCCTGAGGTTTGTGGCAGATCTCTGCATGGCCGTAATCTGGGGACGTGAAACGAGCCTTAAACTGATGGATTTGAATTATCCATTTTGGAATTTCTTTTTGTGTTGATAAACATATTATATTATCTTGAATCACAAGGCAAGAGAATTATGCTGGGGCATGCAGAAGATCGGGTTGTTACCCACTACGATGATGGGAATTAATAATCCTGATGAAACCCACAATTATTACTATATGGAATATAATTATAATGTCACTCGGGTGGTTGTTTTTACTTTTATACATATAAGAAGATATTTACTACTGATGGGGGCAGATATGATTGAAGATCCTGAATAAACTGTTGCACCAGTAAGCTATGTTACCCGATTATGGATGTTGGTTCTACCAATCCAGTGGAAAGACCTCAAAGAAGATACTATATGGATTATAAATTTAAAGTCATTGTCTTTTCTTTTTTTTTTATTTAGATATAATGGAAAATATAGACATATATTTTTAAGAAGTGTGGGCAGTGAATCAAAGATGTTAAGAAATGTTGTCTATGGCAATTTTGTATGATAGTGGGTGAATAAGCTATTTAGTAGATTGATTAGTCTAAGAAAAGGGATTTTTAAGTGTTATATTTAGGGGAGTGGAGGAAATGGATAGAGTGGAATAAATGTTAAACTAGATTTTATGGGGAAGGCCGCTTTGGAATGTTATAGTGATATATATAGAAGATTAAATGTTAAAGTAGGACTTATCGTATAGTTTTAAAGAGGAGAAGTTATTTTATAATGTCATAGTATAATGTCTTTTTTTTTTCCTTTCTTTTCTCTTTTTTGATATGTATGGATAAAGGGGGATGTTATAATATTAATAATATTTTTAGTAAGTAAAGGTCAATATCTAGAGGAGGGAGTAAGTAATCTGTTATGAATTAGGTTTTTTTTTTGTTATGAAGAAGTCACAGGGGGGGATGGGTGGGGAGGGGGGGTTAGGGAGGGGGAGGGAGAGGGGAAAAAAAAGGGGGGGGGAAATTTTTTTTAAAAAATTTTTAAATAAAAAAAAAAAAAAAAGGCTCTGACAATCCCAGCTGAGTTGCCTGATAGGCAGAGGCTTTTTTAAAAAGCTTCTGCAGACCAGGCACCTCAGTTTGGATCATCAGAGGCATTTAAAAGAAA